TTTAACAAACTAAGAATGAACAATACCTCTACAGCATTAATTAATCTTAGTTGATGTTAATTTAACATTTACTAATACAGTATTAAAATGAAATGTTGTATTAGTTAACAATAGTACACTGTGAACCAACATGAATTAACAATGAACAGCTGGATTTTTATTAACTAACATTAACAATGATTAATATATATTGTATCAAATGTATTGCTCATTGTTAGTTACTATATCTAACTAACATGACCCCTAAAATATCTTAATGACCCCTAGTTTTTGAACAGTGTAAACCATTCTCATTAACACTCCCATGTTCCTACATTAAAACCAAAATAGAAACGGAAGAGATAGATATGGAGTAATACTGGACTCATGTTAGACCAAAATAAATAGTGAGAAGAGTGGGTGAGGTGTAAGACTGGAATGAGAACAGACAGAATATTAAGGGAATTTCTCACCCTTTTCTTCAGGACCCTCAGCAGAGCTCAAAAGCCTCCAGATCAAATACGGCCCTCCAAAAACAACAGCAAAAAACAAGAAAATGGGCCATGATTTGACAGAATTCACACTGGGGTCATCAATCCCTGCACCTCTAGTTCCTGAAGCAGACACCACAGAGGAGGCTGCACTGTCAGCCCACAAATCGTCCACCTCTGAATCCTGACGCAATCCCAGCAGCCTCTGCAGCCTGCGATATAGGTATCTAAGGGTCCTAACGAGGGCGAAAGCAGACAGCACTTTTGTGAAATGTATGCGTAAGCGGGAGAAGTGATTGGCCACATCCAGAACAGCGCGAAAGCTGTTGTAGACAGCAGAGAAAGTAGCGTCCATCATCATGCTGACCGACGAGAAGGCGTGGACAATACTCTCAATGGACTGAAATGCTCCGCGGCTGCTCTCCTCCGCCTGCTGGACAAAACGGCTGGGTGGGACGTCGTCCCCTAAGTTATAACGGTTATAACCCAGGCCACCTCCAACTCCATAACCACTGTAGCTGTAAGGGCTGTAACCCCCCGCATACATGGAGCTCCCATAAGGGCTGTATGAGGAGGGTAATGAGCTGTATGTAGGGCGGTATGGCTGTTGGATGGATCTTGGAGGGATGGGTGGTGGCACACGTGTTAGAAGTGAAGGACCAGACATTGACGGCCCACTATGTGATGCTGATCCAAAATCAGTAGAGCTAGATAGAAGAAAATGAAAACATTCAAAAGAAATGGCATAACTGTAGAAAAGCAATAATAATAATAAAACATAGTTGAAAGTTGTCAAATATTCTCTATTTAAAAGTAAAAGACTGAACACACTATGTGTGAACTTTGACACTCAAGCAAACACTTATTGACATGCTTGAGTACGAGCCAAACATTAAGTTTACGTAACTTAACAACAAAAGTATACGTTAATTGTCAATGTAATCATACAGAACTTTTTATCAGAATCATTGTAACACCAAACTTATGCACATATTATTTTTACAGTAAAAATAGAACTACGTCGTCGAATTTAGATATTATATTTGCTTGAGAGCTAATACTTGCTAGCGTCCCAACACTCTATATTGGACATGCTGGCTAAAATAAGAAAAGTTATTACGAACCGATAGTTTAATGGTCCAGTTATGGTTCCAGGGATTCGCCTTTCCCATGGTTTTGGTGGAGGCTGTGCCATTATTTAATATTTTACACCAAAAGTCTAGCAACACAATAAACGTCAGGAACAGAACCTGTTCCATTCGCCAGACTAAAGCAATCGATCATCCTCACAGTTCTGACTCTCTTTCGACACGAGACTAAAGCAATCTATAATTGAATCGATGTGGTCGCTTCTGTGTTTAAAGTCTTGTTAAGTTTTACTTTTTTAACATTCTGTATGTGCGAGAAGTCATTAATTAATTCAATATCGAATTCCGGTAATTTGCCGCTAAAATGCCTGAAACCAGACTGCGTTTTCGTCTGATCCATGTATCAAGCACGATCAATGACTAATCTGAAATATTTTACATGGAAATCGTGACCGTGAGACTTGACAGCTAGAAATCTGTTTTTACATTCCTCTTGCTCACGACCTATGCTCACGACGCACCGCGTGAATAAACCTCGTTTTAATTTTGAGTCCTGTCACTCTAAAAGACTCTCGTCAGAAGTGGGATTTGAACCCACGTACCTCGGCCATTCTGACAAGATAGCCTTGCATGATATAATATTATATTATAATTCCATATTTTATTGTACAGATCTTTTTGTTGTAAACTTAGCCTAGCCAAATAGATTCAAAATTGTCTCAAAAACAGATTTTATTTTTATTTTAAAAATCTCTCGTTTAGAAATGGCAAGTCAAGTGATCATTTATATGTGTCTAATTTGTAAACGGAATGCACACAGGCATTTAAACGTATACGTAAGGTATTTTTTATTTAAAAAATCTAAAACATATTGTCAGAAGTGGGATTTGAACCCACGCCTCCATTCGGAGACCAGAAACCTCATCACCTGAGAAGGACGTAATCCTTGAGTCTGGCGCCTTAGACCGCTCGGCCATCCTGACACTAAAAAACACGTGCACTGAAACACACTCCAACACGCACTAATAGCCCTAGTGGTAATTTGCAGTTTTATTACCTAGCTGATTTTTAAATAAAATGTAATTAAAATAAACATAAAATTCTTACTGTCAAATTGTATCCTTCAAAATTATTATCCGAGCATGTTTGTATTGTCTCATAAACATATTCTTACCGAGCATGTTTGTATTGTCTCATAAACATATTCTTACTATGCTTTCACCATTTTCTTTCTTTAAAATGCTAATTTTCAAATTCCATTCATGTTTTAAAGCTTTACCCTTCTCCCAAACCCAGTCTTTCAATGATCGAGGATTAGCTGTCATTAGTCTATCAAATTCAAATGTAGTATTTGTAAGCTTTAGCTCTTTTCATAATACACAGTTTCAATTGATTTCAATTGTCTCAAACAGCGTTTCAGCAGCTTTACAAAAAATGCATATCAGTGTTACTTTCTGAAGTAATGTTAACTAAGGAAGCCCGTTTCTGCCACAGTTGAGTAAACACATATAATTCTGTAAAAGTCATCATAATGAGAAACTTTCTTAAAATAATGACTGAGACGTTTTCCATAATAATGACTTAACTTCTACGCATGCGCAAAGCCGCGGTGCAGAAGGTAGTGCCACGCTAGCGACATCCGCTGGTCAAAGCCGTGTAAATCAATCACAGCAAACAGGCACACATTACTGAACACAGCACGCTCTGCAGATGTTTGCATTACAGTCTAAAAGTCATTAAAGTTATGAGATGAATTCTACGAGTCGAGAAAGTTTCTCATTATTATGAGAAAATTATATTTTTTTACTCAACTTCCATATAGTTATCAGTCAGAGATGAGTGAATCAAATTGATGTGTGTGAGATGTGGTATATATATATATATATATATATATATATATATATATATATATATATATATATATATACGAGTCGAGAAAGTGGTGGACTGGTGGAAAGTGGTGGAATGGTGGACTAACCATATATATATAAATAAAATATATATATATATAAAAAATAAAAATTGCACCGGTTGCAATAGAGGCAGAATAGTGCATTTTTTGCCTGTTCTTATTTTTGCAGCAATATCTTTGACAGCCCACAAGATGGAGCTGGAGCATTTACCTCAATTTGGATTTGGTTTACCACTTTTGTAATCCATAAATGTGTCTCTGGACTGAAATAAATCAGATCTCCAGCACCAGTGAAACATGAGTTGATAAAGATCAAACAGGATTGGTGAGAGTATTGCTGCCAGCCAACATGGGGATTAATTGTTTCAATCATTTTAATGGCTGCACACCCAGTGGTTAAACATACGCATTGCTATTGGCTGAGACACAATCCTCAGAATCAGCTCCATTGATTTATGACATATAACAATGACACATGTTGCTTTTGAATTTATACAAAACATCATGATGTTAATATCAGAAGATTAACATTATGCAATGTAAATGGAACTTCCACTATTATTAATTATGTTTTCTAATAATTCATGGTTATTTCGTTATATAATCACTTACATCTAGCTGTAAAACTACATTCAGGACTTAAGGAGGAACACCCCAGCACTCCCTCCATTCTCCATCATGAGCAGCTCTCTGGAAGCAGTCGAGTCACTCAGGTTCCTAGGCACCACCATCTCTCAGGGACCTAAAGTGGGACAATCACATGATTTCATTGTGAAAAAGGCCCAGAAGAGGTTGTAATTCCTTCACCTGCTGAGGAAGTTCAACCTGCCACAGGAGCTGCTGATACAGTTGTCAGCTATCATTGAGTCTTTCCTGTGTTCATCTGGTTTAGTTCAACCACCAATCAGACATCAGGAGACTAGTCCGACTGATTATTGTGCCCCCATGCCCACCCTCCGCCTTCAGATCAGGCAATATCGCATTTGATTTGTGCAAAATCCTTGTAAATTTATTTAGTCCTATTTATTCATATAATTATTCACAATAAACCTAGTGTCAATATTTTTAAGCTGTATGTTTATTCTGACTAAAACTATCTGTGTCTTTATACTTTTTCAAAGTTTTTATTCTTAAACGTTATTATGTGCCTTGCTATATTATATGTATATGTGTGGACTGGAAGCTTCAATACCATGGTAAATTCATTGTGTGTGCAAGCACACTTGGCAATAAAGCTCTGACTCTGAAAGTTCCCGCTTTATGATATTTGTCAGTTCAAAACATCTTTGCAAATAGACTATGTAAAAATGAATGAAAAAAAAAATGTTTCATTACAAAAACTCATGACTAGTCAATATTCAGCAGACGTTCGAGTACATGTTTCTTGTGACAATTTTATTTGTTGAGATCACATCCAGAGCCATCACATCCATTCGGTGGCTGCCCGGCAGATGCCGTCATGACGCAGGACTTCCAGCGCGTTGACGTGATGATACGTTCCACCAATCAGCGGAAGTTTCCGAAGCCCAGCCAGGAAAGGAGCAGATGATATGGCAGCTTTGTGAGCGGCCAGGTGGAACTCGCTTTTGTTTAATCGGGGTGACAGCGGAACATGAGTACAGTTTAACCCGCACGCCGCAGCGGGGGATCCGAAAATGATATACCTGATATTAATTTCTGCCTTCTCCGGGGCCATCGTCACGCTCCTTCTGCAGCTCTTACTGGTGTACCGGAGGAGCCCAGAGCCTGTCGCTAGGACTGTTCAATATGTCAAAGCAGTTCCTGATCCCGCACTGAGGGATTACTTTAGCAACCAACAATGCGAATCAACGCAGCTACAACCGGATATCACATCGTCTGCCTCCAAACAACCGGAGGCCTCTTCTCCAAAGCAGCAAGAGACCACCGTCCCCGGCAGCAGCCCCAAACAACAGCCGCCGTCTTCGCCACCGCCTTCCCTGAGCGACTTTCAGCACGCCTCCAAAGCAGAGACATGCGATTTCCTCAATGCCATATTTCTGTTTTTGTTCCGAGAGCTCCGAGACACCCCCGTCGTCAGGCACTGGATCACTAAAAAGATCAAGGTAGAGTTTGAGGAGCTCCTCCTGACCAAGACCGCCGGGCGTCTGCTGGAGGGGCTCAGTCTGCGGGATATCTCCCTGGGCAACTCGGTGCCCGTTTTCAAAACAGCCAGACTCATGAAACCCGTGGCTCTCAATGAAGACAACATGCCAGAGGAGCTCAATTTCGAGGTTGACTTAGAATATAACGGCGGCTTTCATCTGGCCATTGATGTCGATTTAGTATTTGGCAAATCGGCTTATCTGTTTGTGAAGATGACCCGGGTGGCGGGCCGCCTAAAGCTGCAGTTCACTCGCATGCCTTTCACGCACTGGTCATTCTCCTTCCTGGAGGACCCGCTCATAGACTTCGAGGTGAAGTCTCAATTTGAGGGCCGTCCTCTGCCCCAGCTCACCTCCATCATAGTCAACCAGCTCAAGAGAGTTATCAAGAAGAAGCACACTTTACCGAACTACAAGATAAGGTAATGTGTCTTCTATTCATGCTGTCACATTCCAACTGCAATCTCAATCTGTCCCTTGCCTCTTTGACATGACAGTGACGTTCATCTGTGGTCTCAGGTCCATCAGCTACGGCTGGACAGTCACAGTTAGATCTCATGAAGACCAATGATCTATCTATCTACTTTTTAAAAAGCAGCAGCAAGCAATAATAAAATCAGTAAAAGATGTGTCATGAAATTCCTTAGAAGTCTGTTGGTATTTTCTTATTGTTTTTTTAGCATTGCTTTGGAGAGGTTGTGAAACTGGTAGTGTGTGTTCATGTTTGAATGGGGTTGTGAAAACAGGCAAAAGTACAGTGGCACTGCAATAAGAGACTTCTGAGGTGATTGGTAAGGTCATGTGATGACAACAGAAAGTGAGCTGAGGGTGTGAGTCGAAACTGGAAGTGGAGAAAATGGTGGCCTCATTTTGTCACAAATTCTCTTTACTGTGGTCACTCCTTACTGTTAAAACTGAAACAACTTCGAGACTGAGTAACTTCCTGTTTTTATCTGGTCTGTGACTATGGCGATCAACCAAGCTGTGGATTGATTGCTTGCTCTATTCATCCACACCTCACTGCTCTCTATTACTCAACATTACTTGGCATACCTAAAACGTTTGGTTGCCAATACACATTAAGACATCTCAGCAAGTGGGTGTGGTTTGGCTTTCTCAACTGTTTTAAGATTTTTAGGTTTAACATTGTCTTTGTAAGTCGGGTTGGGTTCACAAAATGGTCTGATGATGTTTTTTTGGCTCATCAGTCAAACGGCTCATCTTTATGTTGACATACTGTGTCTGTGTACAGTCAATATGAACATAATGTTCAATCACAAAGTCAAACACAACACCGCACTGTGATTTTATCCATTACGGTAATTCCATGAAAGGCAAAAACAGTGCATTTGAACTTTGACCTCACACAGCTGGGTGTGTGATTAGTGAATTAAATCACTGTGCTCTCTGTTAAATGCTATACTTAACTATTGATCAGTTTCTCAAAACAAGAGCATGATTTCCAGCTAACAGTCTCAGAACTTTCGCTATCGTTCTGGCAAGGTTTTCAATGTTACGAACAAACGTTCTTCCAGAATGATAATTTAGAGTTATCTTCTGGTCTTTAATAATGTTCACAAAATGTTAGCACAAAAATGTTATTTATAAATCATTCATGAAAAGTTTTTTTTTCTGAAACTTTTTAGTCGCACGTTCATCCGTTTAAAAAAAAAAAATGTAATGCTTGTTTCATCACGATCCTAAAAGTAACTTTTGCGAAAATTGTTCCTCAACGTTTGTATGATCAAAAAAAGTTTAAAATGTTTCAAAAATTGACGTTTTGAACTTCTCAGAGAATATTTATAAATAACGTTTTCATGACTTAAGGGGGAACGTTAGCAAAACTTTCTCAGAACGTATGTTTGTTTGCTTGGTTAGTGCTGAGAGTTTAGACTTCATCAAAGACTTTCCTTTGGATCCAGCATTAATGCTGTGCCTTCTGCTTTAGGACGCATGCTACTCCAGAACTAAAAGAGTTTTAGTCATCACAACCGGCAGCTAACTCTAACACTTTAGATTACCCAAAGGGAAAGAGCTTCTCAGTGGTGCGAGACATTAAATGACACAATCATTTTCTCAGTATTGCTGTCTTCCCAAAAGTGGGATTCACTTCTTTTGATCGTTGAGATGGCAGATCTTCCTCTTTAATTCATGCGCTAGTCATGTTTTACTGCCTCAAAGTTCAATGTTTGCTTTAGGGCTGATACAAAAAGTACTTACTGTTTAATTTGTCACGTGGGAGGTGACTTTAAGAAGCTGACAATATTCTCTTTTAAACAAGTGTGTGAGTGGGAACTTTGTTCAAAAAGCAGATAGCATGGCCCAGGGACAAAACAAGGGGGCAGGCCACAATCCATTTCAGTCATCTCTGTGTGGGATGGAAGTGTCACATATGGAGGAGGTGTTCTGAGCAGGACAAGTGTGTGTGTGTGTGTGTGTGTGGGGACCAAACTAATGAAGACTTGGATTTACGTAGTGTGGTTAAAAGGCTTTTAATATACTTTGGCAATAGATGTGGGATGAAAAATCAATAGATTTGCTGTCTCTATTTTGGATAACTGTTTTATGCATCACCGGGATTAAGAAAGAGAGGGAGGGTGGGGTGTTTTTTTGTGGAATACAGCATTTAATATCTATTTTTTAAATGTTTTGGAACGAAAGTCTATTATGCTCACAAAGGCTACATTTATTATTTATAGGGCTGAAACAAACGATTATTTTGATAATCGATCAATCTAACGATTATTAGTACGATTAATCGACTAATCATCGATTATTTTGCCGGCTAATCATTACGTTTGGAACGTTTATTCAGATTTTTCAATTTTTTAAAACATTGAGTTATACATATTCTTACTATAATGTAAAAAAAGAAAATCAATTAAGCTTTTGAAATGGTTGTTTTAATGAACTTTGAGCCAACTAAACAGGTCATTCTCTTTAAGTTTTCAGATTTCGATCCAACTCAAATCACACACAAATGCTCTCTCTCTAAGCATTGTTTAATAGACCCACTGCTTTTCTTAGGACTGAAAAAGAAAATGTTCATTTACTTCAGGACACAAAAATGGTTAAATATTAATCTGTAAACCATTATTATAAATATAAAATTATTACAATCTTTTTTTTAACATGACAATTGAGCTGACATAGACGTTCTCATCCGCCTTTTAATTTACAGAATGAAAAAAATAAAGTAACTGCCATATTCTAAGTTCCTAACATCTCCTTTTGTAAAGCTTCGATTATGGAACAAAATAAAGGCAAGTGATAAGACTATAATACCTAATAGTGTTACAATAATAAAAACAGCCCCAACTCCTGAGCTCGATCAAGCTTTATTAAATAAATCATCACATTACTGTAATTATACGATTATTGATAATATTATTACTGTTATTAGTAGTATTGTCTTATATAATAAAGGGATTTACGTTACCACTAGTTAGTTGATCCAACTGGAGAACACTCAATTCTCACCGGCTCCTCTTTTGCTGGGATGTTTCCTCTTTAAGTGCTCCAACATGCATGTTGTGCTCCCGTGAAAAGCAAGTTGCGCCTTGCATGTATTGCACATGACAGCATTGCTGGTTTTAAGTTTTGTGAAACTTTCCCAAAACTGGCTAGTTCTGTTCGTTTGCAGTCCGTCATAATTCCAGCATAATTCGCGCTGTTTTTTCTTTTACCGCATTTGTATGGGCTGCATTACACTCTAGCGCCACAGCGCCCGTAGCGGTCAAATCGCGATATTGTACGCCATTACATTAGGTCAAGTGAGAGAAAACGACTAATCGACAACAAAGATATTTGTCGACAATTTTTTTATTCGATTCGATTATTTTATGCTTTGGTGGTCAAGAAACAGTTCTTGTTCAACATTACTATCAATGTTGAAAACAGTTTTTAATTAATAGTCAATAGATTCACTGATTAATAGTTTTTAGGGGAACGTTTTTTTTTCAGGATTTCTTGATAAATCAAAAATAATCTTTTGTAACATAAAAATATGTATTGTCACTTATTAATGCACTCTTGCTAAATAAAAATAATACTAATTTCTAACCAAATCTTTCTGATCTTTTTCATTTTTTTCTTTTGGGAAAATGGGATTAAAATTATTGATGACTCATCCTGCAGTCTTTGTTTTCATCTTAAATTTAAAACATTTTCTAATAAATAACTAAAATGCTAAGCATGTTCACTAGTGATCTCAGCCTTTTGGAACTCGTACATTTGACAAAAATGCTGCATTTGCAGTGCACTGATTCAATGCAATATAAAGGGCATTTTCAATCATGCAGGGAAATGCTCTAATTTCCTCCGCAAACACCTTCTGTTATTGTATAGCGGACGGTCTGATTACGCTGATCCAGCTCCCATGTCCGATTGTAGATCTTAACAGTCCTCAAAGGCAGTTTTAAAGTGAAATTGCCATCTTAATCTGCAGAAGTGCCATGTAAGGTCTGTATATTGGGATATCAAATGCAATGTGTATAAAGAATTGAATTGGCTTAATGTTGTAATACTAGTAGTAATAGTATATAAATTGTATGCAAATTGGCTATTTAATGCACATGAGTCCTGTACTTTGTACCTGTGGAGGTATTTAGAAAACCCAAAACAGTATGATGTCATCTCTGGTGCATCCTGGAAAGGCTCCAAGTCACAGACTGGCAAAACCTGAGACTTCAGAAATGTGCGTTTGTTGTTTATTTGCATACTTGTTGTTCAAGTGAGTGTGAAGGAATCACTGTGTATTGAGATTGTTAGGGTTTTTCCCTCCCCATAATCACTAATTTCGTTATTAACAATGAACTATGTTCTCAGATGTTGTAGATGTTTGATATGGTGCACTTTGTGTGTGTGTGTGCGCATAAGAATGTATTTTTGCGAACTCCAAGTATTGACCTGGACTGGTCTCTCTCCGGTTACCTTAGTTGATGTCATGTCTATGTGTGCTTGCGTGTCCAGCTGTTATTGATAGGTGTTTAATGACACCTTCTGTTCTCAGAGTTCTCAGAGGGAGTGACTGACTCTATCTTGGTATGTTTGGGCCAATTGGGGGGTGATCTGTACAAAAGAGTTACTGATAGGCCCCTATCAGCTGCATGCCCTTGAGCAAGGCTCGGGACAAATTTTCCTGACTGTGCTTATTTAATGGTCCAGTTCCTCAGAGGCACTAGAGAAACACATTCTCATTAGAGATAGACATGGCATTCAATCCATTCATCCATCCGTGTGACACTGATGGAGTTTGGCTTTTTAAATTCCCTTTGCCAGAGAAACTGTCAACTGCTGCACTCGTTTAAAACTGTCAATTTACAGCTTCTTCCCGTGGAGCACATTCAGCGTAAACAGGAATTGATATCTCTGTCTCATGATTAACTAGTAACCTGTATTCAAAGTGAGATGCCATTTTCGT